AGAGGCAGCAGACCAACTGACGGGTAAGCAAGAGACAAGGCAACATCCGTCAATAGTTCATCCGACTCTAGAACAATGGCAAGCCACTGGGTTGTCAGACACACGGAACAATGACGCGCAATAAAGTTCCGAGGACGACGCCATTGCATGTTTTCACTTCAGAAAATCTCCACGATGCCGCCTCAACACCAAAATTGACTTCTCGAAATGCCCCAAGTGGCGTCCGGGTATGGTAGCCAGCCTTTAGGAGCGGTAGATGTCAGCCACACGTGAGGGGAACGCCATTATAGAGCTGCATGTCTTCGTATGCACATCTTCGTATTACCTTGCGAATAGACTTCCGTCTAGAGTCGCCTTGCCATTGATTGCCATACCATGTTTGCGTCGACGAGCTTGCTTTAGATCCCGCGTCGGGAGCTATTGCGAGATCGGCAGTTCACGCATCTGAAAGTAGATATCATCTGCTTCGTAGTCAAAGAGGAAAACTCTAAATCATACGCCCGATGCCGCAGGTTCTGCATAGCACGTGAACACAAATTTCTCGTCTCATAATGGCTTTTGTTTCCATGCAGCCACCGATTTCAGGCTCCGCTAAACTAAACTCCTTCAAAGTCCATCCCATTGTACTCCGGATATATGTTGAATATCACAGTCATCTGACAAAAGCGGCCCAACGTTTTTTGTAGTCTGTGCTTAGCAAATGGTATCTGCCACCTCACATGGCCAGCCGACATGCCGCCTAACGTGCCGCTCGCATGCTGCTCGCATCTAGTTGCGAAGGCTGTTGGGTTGCCAGCTATCATCATCATTTGTAACTTTTATTCCCCCTTTCAGGACCAAAATCCGTCCCTTCTCATGCCCAAGTTGAATCCCGCAACACCGATTTGGTATAAATAACAGACGCTTAATGATGGAAGAGGCGGACATTCTGCTCAACAAACGTAATGCCAAGCTTCTCCGCAGTCTCGAAGACAGCGCCATCGTTCTGGCTGCCTCCGGGAGCTGCAATGTACTTGACTCCGGATCGAGATGCGCGGAAGACGTTGTCGACGAAGGGGAACTGTTTCTTGTCAGAAGGTTTTCACTCGAAGCAGGCACGAACTTTACTCACGAAAGCATCACTTGACACAGCGACATTGGTCAGCTTGCCAAGCCACTCTTCTCTCTCCGCATCAGTAAATGCGGGCGGAACCTCCTCGAAGACAGCCTCGAACATCTCGCGCTCCGCACCGGACTTGGGGAGCTCGCCGCTGACCAACAGATCGATGGCGTTGCTCTTGTCGGGACGCTTGGTGCCCTTCTTCCACTTGATGCCTAGAACACGGGGGTGGAAACGAAGCCACCAGTTGTCTGCCTTGTCGCCAGCGAGGCGCGTGCAGTGGATTCTGGACTGCTGACCAGCGCCAAGACCAATGACCTGTCCGTTGTAGGCGTAGCAGACAGAGTTACTCTGAGTGTACTTCAGGGCAATGGTGGCGACGGTCAAATCTCGGAGGGCGGACTCGGAGAGGGGCCCAGACTCCTTGGGAGTGATGATTCTGTTGAACGACTTGGGCGCAATCTCGATATCGTTGCGGCCCTGCTGCAAAGTGACTCCGTAGACGGTCCGGGTCTCGGTCTTGGCAGGGACGTAGTCGGGGTCGATCTGGAGGACGAGGTACTTGCCGCCCTTCTTCTTCTTCAGGAGCGCAAGGGCAGCATCCTCGAAGCCAGGGGCAATGACACCGTCAGAAACCTCCTTGGAGATGATGCTGGCAGTGGGGAGATCGACAATGTCACTCAAGGCAATCACGTCACCGAAGCTGCTCATGCGGTCGGCACCGCGAGCACGGGCGTAGGCCTGGGCAAGAGGGGAGGAGTCGATGCCCTCAATATCGTTGACGAAGTAAACCTTCTTCTCGTCGTCGGTAAGGGGAGTGCCAATGGCAGCACCGGCAGGGGAGACGTGCTTGAAGCTGGCAGCGGCGGGCTTACCCAGAGCCTGCTTAAGCTCCTTGACGAGGGGCCAGCTGTTGAGGGCGTCAAGAAGGTTGATGTAGCCGGGCGAGCCCCCGAGAACCTTATAGGGGAGCTCTCCACCACTGACGAAGGCAGCAGCAGGCTTCTGGTGGGGGTTGGCGCCGTATCTCAAAGCGGAGAACTGCTTGCCATCGGCGGCGTATTGCTTGCGGAAGAAGTCGGAAATGGCAGCATCGTAGTCGGCAGTGTGCTCGAAGGCCTTGAGAGCGTAGCGGTTACGGCTTGCCTCGGTGATCTCGCCAGCCTGGAGCTCCTTGAGGAACTCGGCGTAGTCGTTGGGGTCACTGAGAATGGTAACACGGCTGTGGTTCTTGGCGGCAGCTCTGATAAGAGTGACGCCACCAATATCGATCTCCTCGACAGCCTCGGGGACAGTGACATTGACCTTGGCAACAGTATCCTTGAAGGGGTACAGGTTGCAAATGACATAGTCGACCTTGTTGATGTTCTGGTCGGCCAAGTCCTTCTCGTCGGACTCGAGGTTTCTTGCGAGTATTCCGGCGTGGACGGCGGGGTGCAGAGTCTTGACACGGCCAGCCAACATCTCGGGGGCCTTGGTAATGGCAGAGACGTCCCTATCAGAAAAAAGCCCATGAGCTTCGGGTTGCACGCGTGAAAGTTTCGGCAAGGACTTGCAACTTACTCAACGGGGAAGCCAGACTCCCGGATCATCTTGGCCGTACCGCCGGAGGCGAGAATGCGGACATTCTGCTGGTTCAGGCCCTTGGCCAGGTCCAGCAGACCAGTCTTATCGTAGACGGAAACGATGGCAATCTTCTGACCCGACATCTTTGCTTAGGTGCTCTCGCAACGACAAGTTCTTGGGGAAGGAAGAATTGTTGTTTAGAGTATAGAGCAAGAAGAGGAAGAGAAGAGGGAGGAAGCAGGATGGATCAAGGGAAACAAAAATTTGCCTTGCGCGATGATGCCTGTGGGTAGGAGGAGAGGTTGCGCAAAATCGGCTTCCGATCAAGGAGGGGGAGGGGCAGGAAGCTACGAAACTTTTTCTTGTTGGCTACGTGATGGGTACGGCGTGATCTCATACGCGTAGGGCGGCAGGCAAAGTATTCTCTAGGTAGTTCTGCCCCACGTAGCATCGGCATCGCATCCGCTGGAGGCACGAAAAGGAAGGGGAAACGCTACGTTATGCGACGGCAGCAATGACCTCAACTCCAACCACCTAGCGGCTCGAGTGGGACATTGGATGGCCCAGGACTTTCACTCGCTCAGATATCGTATCATTGTTTTCTACCAAGCACTCACCCATCTTCCCTTCCTCAGGTCACAGGTGAAGAAATATTATGATGGAGGAGAAGCAAACTGTTTCATTGTATGTTGCTCATCCCCCACCTACTGATTCAAGCTCATCAAACCTTGTGGGAAAAAAAAGAATTGGAGTTTCGGCCATTGGCCCGTCAATTTTTTTGGAGCATCCGCCTCTCTTTTGAGCCAATGAGCCCCGCCCCCGCCGTAGTCTCAAAATGAGCACAACGGCAAGGGAGGGAAGGTAGGCAGTGTACGACCTGAATGACTGTCACTGTGGTGCACTGGACCCCGGCAGGGGTCCATGACTGCTGATGCGCCTTAACCCCAACACCGCTAGCGTGCCCCTCATACCGGGTGGCACAGAGCACTGTGGCAGGGCAATGGAATGGGCGGGAGGCCGTTGTGAACCAGTGAACGTCCCGTCGCAAACCTGGGCGGTCTTGGCCTCATATTGATAGACGAGGTTACCTGACGCGGCCACGCTGATTCTCCGGCTAAAAACCAACAGCCTACTTTTGACACTGCCTTACTTCCTTCCTCGTGACCTTTTTACTTCAAAATAGCTTCGCAACCCGCAAAGCCATCTATCGTAGCTACGGATTTCCAAAACACCTACCCGAGCGTAGAAGCGCATTGCGACAAAAACTGACCGCATCACCTCCGAACCGCACCTTCCCGGGACCCTGCTCGAACACCTTGCGTACATCCGGCCCCGAACACCTCCGTTCCCCGACCTCACCCCGTTCTCCCCCGAACGACTCGCGCCGAAACGACCTCGCCACTCCGCGCGCGCGCACCACCACCTCAGCGATCCTATAACCCTAGATACCATATCGCAATCGCAAACTATCCGAACTCTCCTACAGAAACCGTAATGGGCTCTGTCTGCGGCAAGGAGAAGGGGGACAACTTCGACTCCCCGGGTCGCCCGCTTGGCACCGCTCCCCCGCCCCAGCCCAAGACCGCGCCGATTCCTGCGAGAGTCGGCGGTCCGCCACGGACACTGGGCGGTGGTAGCGGTGGCGGCGCATCGGGACAACAATTGTCTGCCGATGCCGCAGAAGCGCGGCGCAAAGCCGCGGAGGCAGCCGAGGTGAGATTCACCTGCCCTCTCCCTCCCTCTTCTCACAATACTGCGCGAATAAACCTACTAACACCTACGCCCCTCAACAGGCCCGAGCAAAAGCCGCAAATAAGTCCACCGGGAAGCTCTCCTCGCAACTGAACGCCCAGAAGAAGCAGACTCAGAGCGATTTGCTCAAGGACGCGAGCACCCAGCAGCTGAGACAACGTGATGCCGATGCCGCTGCGGAGGCTAGGACGTACAATTAAAGCCAAGATACGTAGTAAAGGGGGAAATAGAGAGAAGCGGGGTTAGCGACTTTTCTTGATGAATTAGATAATGGATTTGGGTGGACAATGTTCGTTGACAATACCTCTTCGTTTTGGTATTGAAGCTTGGTTTGGAGTTCATACATTGCTGGCGTCTAGGGTGATCTAAGTCATTAGTTACTACATTTCTTCATTTCGCTTTCTCAAACTGCGCTTCACTCTGGTGCTATTGATCTCCGCGGCGACTGCTCTAATTATTATCCTAAAAAAATCAAGTGCACATCAAGAACGAACATCAGCACCAGCGTTATCATTGACTCCTCTGCGCCCCTGCCCTATTGCTACCATGGCATTATCTGATATACTACAAGAACCCGGGCAATTTACACGACATTATAACGTCCAGAAGCGGGAGCACGGCTGTCGGCCGTAGCCGCCGCAACAGTTCCCTCACTGAGAAGTCGGGTAAGCTCGGTCATAGCAGCGCCAACCACAACCTCCGTGTCACCCTCAACGAGAATGTACAGCTTCGGGTCCGCTCCGGCCGGGACTTCCTTGCCAGCAGGATAGAAGGTTCCCTTTGTCGTGATCGACACACCAGTTGCCTCCAAAATCTTGGCCACGTTCGTTCTGTTTGTGACCGCCCATCTGGCCTTCTGCGGGAAGTCGTTGATCTCGAGGGTGGCGTGGTACGCACCGGCGTCGGGGCCCTTGTTGTCGATGGGCTGTCCTGACCGAAGCTGCCCGGCCTTGCCGAGTCGCTCGTTGATGTTCCTAATGGCTGCGCTGACCATGTCGAGAGGCTGTCCCGGCTTGCCTCCGGCGCCGCCGGCAGCCGGTGTATCCTTGCCCTTGGCCTCTTCAGGCTTGTTGGCGGCACGGGACACAACGGCTGATACCTTGGACTGAATGTCGATGACAGCAGACTTGCCCTTGTCCTCAGCCTTCTCCTCCTTCACGTCATCTTCTTCGCCCTCGGCCTTGTGAGTCTTGCGCTCACGAAGACGAGCAGCTTCACGCTCGGCATCGAGTCTGTCCAGACCCTTTCCACCAAAGCCAGAGTTATCCTTGGCTTTGCCTGCCTTGACCTTTTCTATCCATGCTTTACGCATCTCTTCCAGGCGCTTAGGGACAGGAACACCGCTTTGCTCCAGAGCCTTTGCGATGCCAGGGGCGCAATTCTCCTGGTCTTCAGAAATGTAAGTCACTGCGGTTCCAGTGTTACCTGCTCTTCCCGTTCGTCCGGATCTGTGCACCATGTCCTCGTGGTGAGAGGGTGGGTCATAGTTCACAACCAACTTGAGCTGCTTGACGTCCAGACCTCGAGCTGCAACGGACGTTGCGACCAGGATTGGCACGATACCGTTCTTGAAATCGGAAATTGTAGAATCACGATCGACCTGGTCTTTACCGCCGTGGATCGACATGCAGGGGTATCCCTTGGTCATGAGTTCCTTAAGAAGGTCGTCGGCCTTCTCCTGACGTTCGACGAAGATTAGAGTACGGGCGTCCTCATCCTTTTCGTAAAGCTCACCAAGCAGGCCTAGTAGATGGTAGAACTTTTCAGTCTCGGGAATAACCTCAACAATCTGCGTAATGTTTGCGGGCACGATACTGCGGCCTCCTACGGTAATCTCAACTGGAGACTTGAGTACCTTCTTGGCCAAGGAATCAATGCTGCGAGGCATGGTTGCGGAGAACATGATGGTTTGCCGGTCAGGGCGAATATTGGCGAAGATTTTCATGACTTGTGGCTCGAAACCCATGTCGAACATGCGATCAGCCTCGTCGAGGACAGCGTATGTGACGCGACGCACATTCGTAACACGGCCCTGGTTGGCAGCCAACAGGTCAATCATGCGGCCGGGAGTGCACACGACGATTTCGGCACCGCGCTTGAGCTCGGCGATTTGATCTCTAATGGGAGCTCCACCATAGGCACAGACAGCCCGCAAACCCATTGCCTTCAGAAAGGGTTTACAATCGCGATGAATCTGGACTGCCAGCTCGCGAGTCGGTGTCATAATGAGACCAATGGGACCGTCGGTGTCCCTGATGGGCGGCTGATCCATAATGTGACGGAACATAGGGAGGAGGAAGGCCATTGTTTTACCTGATCCAGTCCTGGCAACGGCGACAACATCACGCCCCGACATGAGAATGGGCAGAGATTGCATCTGAATCGGCGTCGGCTTTTCGTAGCCAAGGCCGGCGATGACGTCCAATGTCCGCTCATTGAGACCGCACTGGGCCCACTTCTGTACCGGCTTAGGGACGTTTTTGCCCGAGACTTTGATGCCGTCAAGCTCCGCGCGCAGTTCGGTGACCTCTTCTTCGCTGAGAGCGGCAAGCTCCGCTGGTTCGACCCAGAAATCCTTACGAATAGGTAGTAAGTCTATCTTGCTGTAGTCCACCGTGGGAATATCTTTCTTCTTGCGTTTCGCAGCCATGGCGAGAGCTGCATTGGCGTTGGGGCCATCGTCTGCTTTGAAAGCGTATTCATCGTCACTGAAGTACGCCTCAGGCTCCTGGACCTTCTTCGTGGATGTACTTGCCTTGGGACCCGGCGCGGCTTTTGTATCCGACAGATCGGCCATGAAAGCGTCCAACGGATCAACATCGTCCTCTTCGGCTTCCACGACCTCCATCTTGTCGGCGACTGCAGGCTCTTCAACTGGCTCAGCAGTTTGCGTTGGCGCAACATCTTGCATGTCGACATCTTGCTTGGACTCTTCTTGCGCCTCCTGCAGCTCTCTCTCGCGTCGTTCGTGCGCAGCACGGGCAATTGCAGCAGCTTCTTCTTCCGTTTCGGCAAAGTTGCCACCGTCCGACTCATCGTCTTCATCTTGATCAGCGTAGGGGGTGTCATCAGCCTCGAGGGGAAGTGCGGGTAGCTTTGTGAGTTTCCTCTTCGTCCCTTCCTCCTCATCGAGATCGAGCTTGCGCTTGTTTGCGAGCTTCTCACTGTCGGCAGTCGCTTTGCTGAAACCAAAAGCGCTCAGGTTTCGGTTGGCGGGAAGTGCTGAGGCTATTATGCTGTTAGTATGTGACCCTCTCATGACTGCCCAATGCGCATCCGCATAGGAAGGGGATGGTAGCTTACCCTTCGTGATTGGTGCAACAGGTGCCGTGGACTTCTCGGGCCGGCCTTCCAGCGCCCCCAGCACACTATTCGTGCCGGTGTTCTTGTGAGACGCTGCCGATTTCTTCGCAATGGCCTTGGGGTCAAACTTGCCCGCGAAAGGCACAGCTGGTGATGCGTTTCCAGAAGTATTGAGCGTTGGCGCTGGGGATGCCGCCGGGGACGCGACTACGGGAGATGCGACAGCAGGCGAGGCGACAGATGGCGAAGCGGGAGCCGGGGACGCCACGGACTTTTTGTCCATCTCCGCGAGGAGATTCCTAGTCTGACTTGGATTAACCTCATTCTCTTTATTGGCCTTGTTCTCTCTGCTCTTCTTCCAGGCCTCGAGCCTGGCGAGTCGTTCGGCCTTTTTGTCAGCTTCAGTCTGGGCTGGGGCGGGCTTGGGCTTAGCAGCCTGTGATATTGAGTTAGCGATCCATGATGGAAAGGGCATGGTGATCGGTCTCACCTCATTACCAGGGGTACTGGTTTTCTCTTGAGGCGCTGCGCCGCGTGGGCGGCTATCATCGCGCTTGCTACGCGGACGGGAGTCAGCAGTTCCCTCTCGCCTCGCGCGAGCTCGATCCCTGGAGTCGTCTCGCCTTGGACGATGGTCCCTGTCGCTATCACGATGCCGCCGTCTGTCGAGAGATCGGTCTCTGTCGGCGAATCGATCGCGAGACCTCCTCCGATTGTCTCTGTGGCGGTCGTTGTCTCGTCGGCCTCCGCGATACAAATCGTCGTCTCGTCGGTCTATGGAGCGATCTCTCCGGCGGTGAGAGTCGCGATCGCGCTCGCGATCTCGGTATCGTCGCTGTTGGTACCTGTCAGAGTCGTCCCATTCTCGTTCTCTGCGGTGTCTTCTCACATCGCCAGGGCTCCTGGACCGCGAGCGACGACGGTAGTCTCTGCCTCCATCATCACGGCGGTCCCTCCTGTCATCGTCTTTGCGGCGTCTCGCGTATTGGCTTCCTGCAGGCGATGGTGAGCGCGAGTCCCTGGTCCGAGCCATGTTGTAGGTCTCGAGCTACTTTTTCGACAGGGTCTTCACTCGTGTATTTGTTTCTTTGCCACTGTTTATTCTGAGAGTTCGGAACCTGATGGGCAAGTACCGCTGTACGGGGCCGCTCTTCCAATGTACTAGGTCTGTTGGCAAGCGAATGACGGATCTGGCATGAGGGGCGGAAAAGTTGCGACGTGACGATTATCAGATTAAAGTTGATGCGCCAGGAAACGAGGCCAACTCCACCGAGCTTTATCCGCGACAATGCACGGACCATTCCCCAGCCACATCGCAGGTGTGGCTGGTTGCAGAGGGAAGGCACCTCATTCTCACTTAAAACTCTTTTGGCGATGGTTAGTGAAAGAGTTCTCGACTCACAATGTTCAATACCTATGCCGGTTCAGTCATTTAAAATTTACAATAGGGGACTCGACGAATTTGAATATTACAGGTGATTTTAGCAATTAGAAGGCTGCCTTAGGTGATACCTCACCACCTTAAGGCGCGTGCATTCCCCGGATTTTGTCGCCTGTCGCGTGGGGCGTTGAAGCACACCGAGCTTCTCACCTGTCCCCAATTATCTTGTCCCTCCATCGAACTCATTCACTTCTCAACCTACGCCAATCTAACCTAAAAGGACATCTGTCTTAGACCTTCTTTGACATAAAGATCCCCGAGTCGATACAATGGGTGGTCTGGTGGCGTACGCCAGCAGTGACGAAGACGATGAGGTCGAAGATGTAAAGGTGCGCTCACAAAGATGCTCCTCTTCTCACTCAGAAAGCCTGTCACTTACACAATGTCTAGACTGAGATTGCCGATAAATCCACATCTCCCAAGAATAACACAGGCTCAAGTAATACCTCGCCAACTAGTTCAGGCCTTCTCACAACCTCGTACTAATGAGCCTCTCAGATAATGACAAGCCACCATCAACATCACCTGCTGCTGCTGCTGCTCCTCCTCCTCCTACCGCCGCCGCCGCACCACAACCACCAATAGAGCCTCAACCATCCACAGAAGCCATAACAATAGGCCCAGTCCAACAACACTCCGTCCCACTGGGCCCCTCCCTCCCCCCAATGGACACTCAACTACCAAATCTCCCCTCAGGAGAAGATCCGTCCCAACCCCCGGCCTCGCCATACACCGCCTCCCGCGCCCTCCTCCGCGATCTCACCCTGCCCCCCGTGCCCAACTTCGACATACCCCCTTCACCGCCGGGCTCCCCACCCCCCGCCCTCAGCGCCAAATTCACCCAGTTTCTCGACCTCAAGAAGAAGGGCGTACACTTCAATGCCAAACTCGCCCAGTCCGCCGCCCTCCGCAACCCGAGCCTGACGGACAAGCTCATGTCCTTCGTCGACCTCGACGGCCGCGCGGGCTATGCCACCACGCTACCGCCCGCGCTCGGCTGGGACCCGACGTCGGAGGATCTCTTGCCGGAGTGGGCGGGCAGGACGGCGCTGCGACAGAGCCAGGATAAAGTGCGCGGCGCGGGGGCGAGGAAGGGAGGCGGGCCCGTCGAGTTCGTGCCGGCTGCCGCAGCAGGTGCCGAGTCTGCTGCTTCGCCTGCGGCTGGGATTGAGCAAGGGGGTCTCGTCTCGCGTGGAGGAAAGAGGAAGGCGGGTGCGCTGTGAAGAGCAGCAAGCTGGGCCTGGTTGGTGATTCCGTTTGGCAAGGCATCCGGGCTGCTTGGTCACTGACGTCTGTCAGCTGCCTCAGCTTCGGCTTCAGCTGTTCATTTACTACGGTTATCTTGCTTGACAGGCGTTTGAGGGATTCAGCAACTCGGCAAGCTGACTGCTGGGGTAACCATCAGTCACCAACATCGATCCTTCTTCCTCACACTTCTGTGACAGGGGCTACTCTACGGGAACTTGTCAGACATCGCGCAGATGGGTCCAAAGCGTCCTGCTCTTTTCATTTCCCGCTCAAGGTTGACCTGCTCGGGGAATTTCCAGGATATCGATGCAGCTATCAGACGTCTTGTGTCATTGATTGAGGGCTAATCCTCCACATCTCTGCCATCGCCAAGCGAACTATTTCTGTGTTATTCCATCCTTGATCCTCTAATTGCAACCCATCCTCTAGTCGCCCGAAATCTCCTTCTCGATTGGCAGCCGCAGACCTCGGTGTCTCTCTGACGCTCGCCGTCGATCTCCTCGGCATCACTTTATTCAATCAATGGCAATGAGGGGAATAAGAATGTGCTGGCATGCCTAGCCGCAAACAAACACACATACGCATACAATGTACACTAGTGCCGTGGAAAAAGAATATCATTATAACTCGAGGGGGGTTACATGGTCCGCATTGCCGCACAGTGGGGTCTAGAATGGAGACAGAGTTTCGTAACGGCGTCTCAGGTGCTGGGGGGTTGATTGTGTAGCCTCGTTTCTCCTTCTCTGGCCTTGGGAGCCGAGGCGCGCGTCAACGTTGGTTGCGGATCTTCAGCACGTGGGATTGACGACGGTTATCGGATCTCTGATGCGGCTTCCCCGCGCCCGACAGCAACTTGAGGCGGGGTATCACACCGCAAGAGGTAGCAAGAGATTTAGAGGAAATATCACATAGCCCCAAAAGCCCTCTTAAATCTTCGCGATTGATGCCCCTACTTCGGGATGACGACTGCCCTGGCGGAAACGTTGTGCGCTCGTGCGCTCAAAGAGGGTGTGCTCTGAAAACCGTCATTTGTCGTCAGATGGTCGAGTTCTGGGACACGGACCGAGAGAGAAGGAAAAAGGGGTATGGATGGGATTTCTCTTCACTTGGGACGACAGGTTGTGTGTGGTAGATGCGTCACTTTTTCTATTCCGTCAGAGTTGAGGCTGGAAGTCGTAGGGACGAGAGGGAATGACGTCGAATCTTAAAAACAGAGTGCAAGTTTGCGACATTGTCAGTTGAAGGTTATCGTGACATCGTATGTGATCTTACTTTAAGTCGCGCTGTGATCAGCCCGGGCAGTAGAGTCAGGTAACAAGGTATCATATTCCAGCTATGTTACGGCTGTACGCCGTCATAGGTATCTAGGGTCGCTAGATTATCACCACCGCAAAGGTGTCCGATCCATCGCTCTCAACGCTGCCCCCGAGTCGCAAAAGCTTTCCAAGCAACATAATAAAATTCATTAATACTTTCATATTCGTGCAGAACTGTCAACCTTGCCACCCACACTCGTTTCTCAACGCGCAAATAGTGTGCCCCCTTTTCGTTCAGTCCGTGGCAGACTTAACAAAGTCGCTTGAGAATCTAGCTAGTGCAGGTGAACGTGATGTTCAGAGACCTCTTCAACGATTCGCCAATGTTGATATCCGTAACAACCTCGCCAGAGGAGAGAGCATCGGAAAAGTAGGACAGCCTCTGGCCATTGCTGGTAACGTTCTTGCCGCGGAGGCTGAAGGGAATGATACCGTTCTCGCAGGCGGGCTTTTTCTGCATGGCGGCAAGGACGGGGGCTTGAGAAATATTGGCACGCATGGTGACGTTGTTGATGCCTGGGTGGAGTAGGAGATTGTCGAGGTAGACGGTACCAATGTCCTGGCCGTCCAAAAGGTTGACAAACGAGGCGTTGCCCTGAGAACCTTGATGTTAGTATTGGTTTTTGTGAGAGAAGTTGCATAAACGTACAATTTCCAATGTGAGAACAGAAGGGTTGGGGATCGAGACGTGACCCTTGAAGTTGTCACCCTGAGCGTCCGGTGTGAGAGAGATGGTGTTATCCGTAACATTAAGGCCCTTGAAGCCGTTCAGACCTAGGTTTCGTTAGCAACGTGTATCATGGACGCAACCTGGAGATTAGTGCAGTGGCGGCGGAACTTACCCTTCAAAGTCATTGTGTTCTTGAAAGTAACCCCGTAACGCCTGGCAATGCCATTGACCTTGATATGAGTGTCGCCCTTGACCGTAACTCTGACAGACTCATTGTTTTGAAGCCAGGTATTGAAGGTGGTGAAGGCGGGCATGTCGTTGATTTCGATGGGCTGGCTAATGTTGACGGTCTGTAGCTTAACTGATTTGGTCTCGGGGAACGTGAGGTTCACGAAGGCAACTTCTCCTGGAAGGTCCGTCAGGAACATTTTGCCGTCGAAACCCTCGATCGTGGCCTTGACTGAGCCGTCTGATCTCAGCGTCGAGTTGATAGCCATGTTGTATGAAGTGGGTGTTGTCTGGGAGACGATGATGCTATCAACTGTGAGCTCGGCATCATCGAGCTTCTTTTGTGCAATCTTTGGTACGGCAACAAAGATGCTAAGTTTCGCGTTAGAACACTTGGGATTTGGACCGCCTTGGGGAGGATGTTGACACTTACATGAGAAGAACGACGAGAAGGATTCCTGCGACGCTACCGATCAAATAGAGCCACCAGAACCTTGCACAATGTCTCATACATGTCTTCCTCTTGCCACCGCCGTATGCAGCACCACCACCGACAGCATTCTCGGAGTGAGAGATATCGTGTTTACTCATGTTGTCCGAACTGCTTCGTTATGCGCGTTATATCGTGCGATAAAGCTGTAGGGTTATCCTTCACTTCCGTGAGTTCCCGATGTATGTTGGAGTGTGCGTGTGTACGTATTCGAGTGAACGATAGGAGGAAGCTGTCTGTCAAACCTCGAAGTCGATGACAGCTCAACAGTTTTTGTCTGGTATGTCAGAAAACTAAGTAATCGAGTGGGACCGAGGGTGTTTAAGTACAGAGATCGAGAGAGATGCTTTCTGGGGTAAAAGCTGGGGATGCCAGGGAATAGTAGGCACCCTATGCATCACACGGCAGCGATAGCTCGAGATCTCCATGTCCACATCAGGTATGTAACCCTTCCCCTTCCTTACAGACCCATCGACTAACCCAGCTCGACTCGGTAGGGTAGGCAGGGTAGTGTAGGTTGGGATGTGCTGCGGACCTGCGGTACCTGAGGCGTGGAGCAGGCATCGTGTGTAAGTGCAAGCAAGGTCGCAGCATGTGGTCCGTTAAGCGTGGGTGTGTATGGGCCGAAAGTGCCTATCGAACGGATACATGGCTAGAGTGCGTAACGAGAGAGAACGGATCGGCCAGTCAGATGGCAGGCGTGGCAGGCTGTCCACAGACCAACACAGAAGAATATGCCAGGTCAAATCTTTGACGCCCGAATCTGCGATGGAGGGGAGGTCGAATTACAAGGGCAGACCGGGGCAGCGTTGCCAGATTGGGTGGCATGCCGAGCTACAAGGTCGACACCATCTTCCTACCTAAGCGGATGCCCCGCATTGTGTGTCGAGGAAGAGGTAGGGGGACCCCTTGCCCGCTAACACCAGAGTTACAATCCCGCTGGGCCACCAGAGTGCGGTCCCTCGGCATCTCGTGAACAAAATTGAGCATATGAAAGTGATGTTGGGTGGTTGTGTGTGACTGGGTGTTTACACAGGTCCCCCTTCTGCGTTACCACGGCGCAATATACCGACCTGCGTGGCTTGCCCGCCCATGCTGCAGGGGTGTTGATGAGATTTACCCTGTAGTGTACAAGTGAAGGGGCGACGGATACGAAGTGAGCCGTAGACACGGTCCAGCCGTTGCGAGCAAAGCCAGATCATGTTGGGAGGCAATTGACGATGGACTGGCTGAGATTTGATAGCCTCGAATGAAATGGTGAATACCTAGCCAAGAACGCAGCGGTCCTCTATGCCGTGGTGCTCTCGATGAGACAACCGTCAAGTTGGAGGCGAGTAAACCAGTGGACGTTGTCAACTCCAAGGATTCAAGAGTGCGGACGCCGCCCACTAGGAGGCACTCCGGCGGGCTTCTAGCGTTGGAGAGGGTATCCCCGGCTACCCAATCAAAGTATCATGACCTTGAGGCTGATGGCGTTCCTTCTCTCGTTTTGTGCCACTGGTGAACCTCTTGGGGGTATCCGTATCGTACTGTGTGATACGAAGGGCCAATGGAGGTTCTCAAATTGTACGGTTTGTCAGGTTGACTTTGATGGAAATCTCACCGAGTCTTGGCCCCATCTTGCACGAAAACGACAGAATTGGTAGCGCGACGAAGGCGACAATCACATGGTCACGAAGTGTCAGAATTTTCACGGGGGAGCTGAGAAAAGAGAGAGAGAGAGAGAGGGAGAAAGAAAGGAACCAGAGGCAGTGCGGCGCGGAAAGGAGCTGCAGCTGTAAACGGCCAAAATGGGCAGATGATGGGCCAGGATTGGTCGAGCCAGACGTGCCAGAATGAATTGGCTCGGAGATTTGACGCAGAAGGCCAATGATTGACATTTGGAGATACGGAAGGACCTTTGCCTCGCCCTCTTTCCCTTGTGCCCTCGTGAGCTACCTTGTCGTGCAGCCGTGTTTGCCTTAGGTGCCCAATGTTCCCACTACCTACCTTAGGAAAGGCAAGAAGAGGTCGACGTCCCGCTCTCGCCTTGCCCGCGCGCCTCCATTCGCCCTGCCAATGTCCCACTCATTTCTCCCCCAGCATCCCCCAGAGTCTGGGCATTTTTCGGGTAGGAGCGGGGACGGGGACTTACACTAGTAGAATCTTAGCTACCTGGGGAGCCACTCAGAAAGCGCCCGTTACTGAGGGGGAACCTGGAGAGCCCCCGCCTTCCTTACGGAGTACACAAATTGGTGGAGTCGGGCACTTCAGAAGTTCAGAGCTTAGGTACCTAGGTTGGGAGCCACTGTGGGGCGTCCTTCCTAAACGACTTTTTATCCACCGGAATCATACACCACCACCTTGCAAGTCACTATCAACAGGTACGGACCTCGCGGACCCGAAGGAAGCTCAACATTAGGTTGGATGTCCACGTTGCTTCTGTGTTAAATACTCTCTGCTGTCATTACAAATGGCCTCATGAAGAGCTGCAATTGAACACAACCCTTACCTTATCTCACTTCTTCTCGACAGTTGAACAATCAACCCGTCATATCGGCCTAAAGTACCTACCTATCTGTACGGATCAGCAGTACCGTTTCTTGAGTTGTTTTGCCTTTCCCCAACGTAACATTCGGCCGATTGAGTCAGCCAAGCTCATTTTTGGGCAAGAAGCTTATGCCAGCCTGCTAGTACTCCGTGCATCATCAGGACACCAGGGTCATGACGAACAGAGACGACAACATCCCATGCGGCCGTACCTTTGTACTCTAGGCGCCGAAATGCATGGAAAGGAAAGACAATTGCCTTTCTGCCCATCACCTCATTGATACCCCGCGGGGACCCCAATGGCTCGTCATGGAGGAAACTTTGCCCATCGTGATTGTGGCTGGATCCCCCGATCCGACCAAGACTATTTTTTCCACAAACACACAGACTTGTCACCGGCAGCTAAGGAAGAGAGGTGAGAGACAACAATCCCTGTTACACCGTGACCGGCCTTAGCGGGGAAATGGAAGCTTCAAAGTTTATGGTTTATAGTGTAATAAAAAGTCCTCACGCGACGAGACACACTACCACGCACATCGCGCTACCTCCCCAACCACCCTACACCGGGCCGCCGTCTTTTCTTCACCACGGTCCCTGGCCTATCAGACACGATGTCGACGTAAGTCGTCTCGAGTCGCTCCGCTCCGCCTGACGTTTCTGACCGAGAAAGCTGCGGCACATCACTGCCTACCCACCACCACGGTATACTCTCAACTGGGATTCTGCCTCTCGGGACTCGGGATGACGAATGAGAGAAACTTCGTCGGATCGAGAAATCCCCCCCCAAAAATGGAAGGGGGTTCCATTACAGTCTTCCAAGGGTTTCGTTTCAGGACATCTCAGACCAGCCAGTGACAGGATGACAATGATGACACGGGCTGACATCCGGAGCCTAAAATTCGTAAGAAATTCAGAACCCTCAGCTTGCTTCTATACTATACTGAAGATGTATGACTCTACAAAGACGACTCAAACTGAGCAAGACTGTAGAACCGTAATGCTGTGGCGTAACTGATGTCGGATATACATTCCGCGATAGCTACCTTGACCGCTCCTATCCCGTCAGCATCTCATCCCAACGCCCTAAGAGATCCAGGCATATCCTGCTACGAGCATGAGGCATATCCCACCCTTCGTAGTAAGGACTTCATGCAAACGCTCGGCTTCGTGACCAAATGATGCCATTTACCCCACGTTAGCCCAACAATTTTTACCGTTTTACAAACACAACGTCAGATCAGCTTGCTTCGGCTGTTTCCCTGTCGTGGGGAACTTCCACACTACCTCAGAGCTTCGACTTCACCCACAGGCTAACTCTATTCTCGATGCCAGACTCGCCGTCGTAGATATCTCTCTCCACTGCGCGGGTGTTGATCTGCGGCACTCGTTAGCATCCGACGTCTCACAACAGTCTTGAATCTTGGCCATTTTGGTGTTGCCGCTTACAAATTTAGGTCCTAGGTCGCTGATGCTCTTTGCTCCAAGCAGCCTCATGCATGTCTCCATCTCGGCTTTCAGGACTAGGCGAAAGGTTAGCGATTCGTTCACAATGACACGGCTCCCACATCAAGACTTACTTTCGTATGTCCGCTCGACACCCGCTTGGCCTCCGGCTCCAAGACCAAACAGAGCAGCGCGACCAATGCCTACAGCCTTGGCGCCCAGGCACAGAGCCTTGACAATATCGGTACCACGCTTGATGCCGCCGTCGACCCAGACCTCGATCTTGTCAAAGACCTCGGGGCAGTACTTGCGGATCTCCAGAAGCGTGTGAACGGCGGGAGGTGCCGTATCGAGAGCACGACCGCCGTGATTGGAGAGAATAATGGCCTTCACCTGCGGCGCGTACTGAGCCGCCAGGTAAGCATCCTCGTGCGTCTGCAATCCCTTCAGCACGATGGGCAGGTCGGTGTGCTGGGCCAGCCACGGCAACGTTGTCTTCCACTCTAGGTCTGCTGCTGTGCCGAAGAACAGCTGCTGTCCGACACCTCCACCGCCTGGCCGCTTCGCCTCTTCGGTCTTCGAGTTTGACTCGGACTCGACTTCGAAAGATCCCTCGAATTGCTGCTTCTCGTCGAGCTCACGCTTGCCAGGCCACGGTGCATCTAACGTCAAGGTGATGTACTTGTAGCGGTCCTTCATAGCGTTGATGCGCTTCAGCATGGCCTCACTCTTGGCCCTGTCATTCTGCACGTAAAGCTGCCATCCAAAGACTTGGCCTTCAGGGGAACCCTCAATGATCTGCTCCGGGGTCATGGACGCGTTATTCGAAACGCATTGCATCGCATTGAACTTGGCCGCTGCCCTCGCAATGCCTCGCTCACCGTCGGGGTGGGCGAGTCTTGCCATGGCAGCCGGCGCCACGAACAACGGAAGTCCTACGTGGTTGCCGAGCAGAGTTGTGGAGGTGTCAACTTTCGTACAGTCGACAAAGACGCGAGGCCGCAGCAGGATCTGCCTGTACACATGACCGTTGTTGCTCTTGGTCCAAAGGTCGTCAGAGGCTGAGAAGTAGTATGCCCACGCCTTCTTGGGGATAATCTTTGTGGCAGCCTCCTCAATCTCGTCGAGGTTGAGCAGCGTCTCGAGCCTGGGCGGGCCCTCCTTGGGTTTTTCGGATTCCGCCTTCGCGGCTTGAGGTTGTAGCAGCGCTAGCGACTCGGGGTCTACGGTGCCTAGACAGTTTTCGGGCTTGAGGTTCTCCTCGAGGATACCCGGCGGGTGTATAGGGTCGTACTCTTCTGTCGCATCTTTGCCGGAAAGCTTGACGATGATCTTGGAGCCGCCGGGGTGTGAAGGGAGGAATTCGGTCACATCGTACACTTTGCCGTAGAGCACCACCCAACAACTGTCGGATGTGTTGTGCTTGGCCACTGTGAGAATTGTATCAGCATTGACTCGAAAGCATCGCAGCAAGGGAAGCACGGCAGACGGACCTTCTTCAGCAGTGAATATCTTGGACATTTTGTTAGCAATTCGGAGCTCTACTAGTAGTACAGCCTAAGGGAAACATGAAGAAGAATCTCAGCAACTGACAGAGCGGGAACATCATCGTAATAAGTCGCCAACCATTCGGCGGGAATTACCCCGTACGTCTGGCGTCGGAGACCAGGCCCGTGGGGGGCTTGATCTGGGGTTGGGGGCAGTAGAGGAGCCACCCAGTCGTCGAATCACAGGGCACTTTTTGGTCAAGCGTTCTGTGGAGAGGCTTTGGAGTTGCTGGAGCAGTGGACCGGGAGAGCACTGGGCTTTGCAAGCGGGGCTCACCCCAGTGGAGAGAACACCGCGAGCGCGCAAAAGAAACCCCGAATATGCCCCGACTTCGGACTTAGATGTCGGGGCGGCTCTCGGCGCTAGACGCTTCGCTTCGCTTTGGCGCGGCAATGATTTTACGGGGACGTCATCCAAATCCGCCCCCCAGAAAGCAATACGTAAATTTCGTCGAGCAACACTTCAGTGACGACTCTCACGATCGCATAGAACCAGCTACTTGAGCTACGATCTCGAGTTGTAGACACCAAAATCAAAGCTCAATTGCGATACGTTCACAATCAATATGCGCACATCAATCCAGACCGGCGTACGAGACGTATCTCGCCTATGCGCGAAATGCCGGCGACAAGCGATAGTGGCCCGGCCATCCGGCGCAGTAGCCATGGCCATGGCCAGCAGTTCGTTACTCACAACACATGCACGATGGGCTTCTGAAGTCTCATCCGCGATTCCCAGCCAGAAGCGGTGGATGTCCGGGAGCGTCCCGCTGACACGGCCGGCGACGGCGACACCAGACAGCGAACCAACCGCCGCCGCCTCAAGCACGCCCGACAGCACCATCCCCAAGACGCACTACGACTTCTTCCCCATCACCCTCCCCGACGGCCCGCCGCCCAAGGGCCACTTTCCCATCGACCAGCGCGCCCTCCGCCGCGAGTTTCTCCGGCTGCAGGCCAAGGCCCACCCGGACATGCACCCGGCGGAGCTGAAGACGCGCGCGGAGGCGACGTCGGCGCGCATCAACGAGGCGTACAAGACGCTGTCGAACCCGCTCCTGCGCGCGCAGTACCTCCTCTCGCTCCGCGGCGTCGACGTGGCCAACGACGAGACGCTCAAGGTCGAGGATCCGGAGCTGCTGATGGTGGTGCTCGAGGCACGTGAGGAGATTGAGGAGGCGACGGCCGAGAGCGAGCTCGAGGGCCAGAGGGAGGCTAATGATGGGAGGATACGCGCGAGCGAGGAGGTGCTCGAGACGGCGTTCCGGCACGACGATATCGAGACGGCCAAGAGGGAGGCGGTGAATCTCCGGTACTGGGTTAATATCCAGGAAAGCCTGAATAATTGGGAAGCCGGGAAGCCGATTGTTCTGCAGCACTAGCTGCAGAAGCAATGGTTTTTCTCAGACAAATTCAATAAAATGGTGGACACTTCTATATAAAATAGGAAGGAAGAGAAAATAACGAAGAGGAGAGAGAGAAAAAAAAGCGTACATCTGTGATGAGAAGGGCTCGCTCGTCATCATCAGCCGATGATGGGCCGATATTGTACAATACCTGGGTGTTCATAAATTTTAATGATTGCATAACTCTGCTCAACCCCCACCCATCCCTGTTCGCGAATTTGACTGGACAAAATCGACGGAAAAGGTATTAAGTCACGTTTGGCAAAAATTCCCGACTACCCAAAAACTCCGACCTGCGAAAAGATGTTCCGCCTCCAAAGTCAAGGTATCTAAAATAGCACGTTAACTTCATGAAACCAAATCTCCTAGTTTCCGATGGTTCACCGAATTCAGAGGCTGTAGTTTATCTGCTTATTGGGGCAATTTTCATTGGTAGAGTTTGTGGTGTCGTACATTACAGGTGTTTCCGGAGAGAACGCCGCTGCACTGAACAATTGCAGCAGGCTCGGTGTGAAAAGACTGTTTACTGCGTTGAAATATGGGCAAAGGATATATATACGTGCTTTGCGTTCAATGAACGACTTTCTTGTGTTCGTAATGTGTGAAATGTGCTGGCCGGTCAAGTTCCCTGTATCGCAAATGGTCAAAGAGGAATACTCAACTGCCTTTTGACTCATGTTGCCCATTACACTGTCTCTAACTAATTCCCTATATATATGAACTAGCTATGAACCATTGCAAGTAGGATTCTTTGCAAGGCCAAGGCACAGGAAATCAACTTAGTGAATGCCTCATCTACAGCACATTAGGCAGATTGCAGGAGTCTCCAAATCGTACTTCGCGGGCAGTCATGAGTGTCATGATAGCCTCAATTTGTGCTGTTTCAGACCAATCGTCTTCGTTATTTGACTCCCATCTCATCTATCTCCACATCGCACGATAGGTATGAATGGCATGGAGAAGTTATGGTGCCCTTTGAAGCATATCGAATCGAGTGCTCCGGAACTTTGGCCCGTGGGCCCCTGCACCGGGGCACCCCTCCAACGGCCCCTCAAAGCTCTTACCCCACCATGCCTGCCTAACTCTATCAATGACAACCATCCAAGAGCTCACCTCAGCTCCTACAGCTCCACGGCTTCACGATCAACAACCAACGTTGAGAAGCACAAGCTCAGATACCCACCCGCCTCCCACCGCATCACTCCCAAGATCATATTTCACACCAACAGATCACGCACAGCTCGACATACACACATCAGCACACATCGAAACCATGGCGCCCTCGCAAAAGGTCGCCCAGCGGCTCGCCCAAGCCGATTCGGTACCCGGGGACAAGGCCCCGGCCTACGAGTCCATCATCGCCGACATCAAGACCCTCTCGTCCCCTCCGACAGCCGCGCCCGACCTCAACGCCGTCCTTGACGCGATCTTCGCCGCCTCCCTCGGCATCGTCTCCACCCGCACCCTGCTCGCCTCCTTCGTCGCCGCCCTCCGCGGCCTCCAAAACGACGACCTCTGGATCGCCGTCGGCAACCACACCCTCGCCCAGCTCGCCACCCAGCCCTCCTCCTTCCTCGACCAGGCCGCCGCCGTCCGCGAGCTCGTCGCCGAGGCCCACGAGAGCGCCGAAGACTTCCTCGACGCCGCCAACGTCCTCGCCGAGATCCCCCTCGACGGCTCCCAGCGCAAAGTCACAAACGACGATAAAGCCCGCGTCTGGGTCCGCATCGCCCGTAACTACCTCGAGGTCGACGACACCACCGCCGCCGAGACGTACGTCAACAAGCTCAAGAACATCATGCACACCGTCCAGGACCGCGACCTCGACCTCCACTTCAAGCTCTCCATGGCCCGCATCCTCGACTCGCAGCGCGACTTCCTCGGCGCCAGCGGCCGCTACCACGAGATCAGCGTCAGCCCCGCCATCGCAGAGGAGGAGCGCCTGCACACCCTCGGCATGGCCGTCAAGTGCGCCATCCTCGCCCCCGCCGGTCCCATGCGGAGCCGCGCCCTCGGTCGGCTATACAAGGACGAGCGCTCTGCGGGACTTGACGAGCACGGCATGCTGGAGAAGATGTTCTTCGACCGCCTGCTCGCCCCGGAGGAAGTGGACAAGTTCGCTCAGGGCCTGCAGCCGCACCAGCTCGCCACCACGGCCGACGGATCCACCGTACTGGCAAAGGCCGTCGTCGAGCACAACCTGCTCGGCGCGTCGAGGTTGTACCGCAACATTGGCTTCGAGGCGCTCGGCTCCCTGCTCGGCCTGGACGCCGAAAAGGCCGAGGAGACGACGGCGCGCATGATTGAGCAGGGCCGATTGCTCGGCCGGATCGACCAGCTCGACGAGGTGATTTGGTTCGAGGGCGGCGAGGCGTCTGGGAAGAAGGGCAGCGGGCGCGCCGAGGTCGTCGTTGGCAAGGAGATGCGGAGGTGGGATGCGAATGTGCAGAGCGTAGCCGAGGAGGTTGAGAACGTGACCAATGCTCTGCAAAAACAGTTTCCCGTGAGTTTATTCCCTACCTTGCGGTTTTGCAAATCTTCGATGAACCATTTACTAACAGTTCCATAGGAATTCGTGGAAGCCAACTTGGTCATTTGAGATGGATTACTATGAAATTGAACTTTACACACACTCACACACATTACCGGCGTTGTAAAAAAGGGGGTTAAACACTGGCGTTTTAGGGATTCATGCGATCAACAGAGACCGCACTGCATATCACAAATGAAGAGAAGAAGCACGTCAGCATGGAACAGTCACGTAGCCCGACTTACGTAGTAGACAGGAGCTAGACTGAATAAGAGAAGACGGCGAATGAACCATGGGTTTGGAGGCAATATTCGCATTGAAAGTAAAAAAAGGTATCTAGTTCAAGTCTCTCATCCGCACGACCACATAACCCTCGCTGAGCGAGTGTGGATCGCCGTCCTCCTCGTCAAAGGAGATTTGCTCCTCGGCGTTGCGCCGCGCCCTACGCGCTCTCTTGGACTGAGGATTCCGCTCCAGCTCTATAACGTCGCGGAGGGCTTCGGCAATGTGCGTGCCCATCCAGTCGTAGCCCGCTGGTGTCAGGTGAAGGCCGTCGTCCCAGTATCTTTTGCACTCCCGATCGGTGAGGGCGTGGAATGGGATCCTCGGATTAAGGTCGAAGGCATGGCTGGGTGTTTGGTAATTAGTTTGTTTGCTGTGTGATTCTCTCCTATACACGGAAAGACACGATGGGGAAAACGCAACGAGAGAGAATACGTGTAAAGGGCAAGACATACTAATTTGGTGATTGATGGGTGAGGATAGCGTTGTTGAGCTGTCGCCGGCGGGCATCCAGCTTTTCACTCTTGGTTGCACATTCGGGGACTGTCAAGGCAAGAACCTTGCTACCATTGGCAATGGCGGAGTCGTATACTCCCCGGAGTGAGTCAAATATCCTATCTGGCGGCACGTTAAATGCAAGGTCGCTGGTGCATCTCGTTAGTATGAGGCGGCTTTCAGGGAAATCTACGTGTATGTTGAACGTACTTTGTGCCTCCCAGTATGATTACCCAGTCGTATTGTGCTTGGCTCACTAGA